GAGGCAGGAGACTCACTTAAGCCCAAGAGTTTGAGGTTGCTGTGAGCTGTGAGGCTATGGCACTCTATCAAGGATGAAATAGTGAGACTCTGTCTCAAAAAAAAAAAAAAAAAAAAAGAGAATATTTCAGAAATAACATTTTCTTAAAATGTTACTGATAGCTAAATATCCAGTTATGAACATCTGTCACCTATCTGTAATTTATTAAACATGTAGTCGAAAACTTTTCTTAATCAGTAGTCTATTTCTATGGTATCATGTCTAACAATTTCCCTGGAACATCTAGCTTCGTGTTCTAAAGGGCTCAAGAGGAAGACATTTCAAAAGAGTGTAAGTGTGCTGTATATACCCAGGGAGGTCCTGATTTTTGAGGTGGCGGGTGGGGGTGGAAAGGGCATAAGAAATCATGGATTGTTCAGTTTAAGTTTCTAACAAAACTACCAAACTAACACATATTTTAAGTGAAAAAACTAAATAAATAAACTTAGTGCTTCTCTTTAAGCTTTTCTTCTTTTTCTGGCAAACCCTTCATTATTCCACGCTGAATTAAGCCAAGTAGGCCCTGCAGCTCTGCTCATTTCCAAAGCAGCCTGTTCCACCGCCACCTCTGCTTGGCTGGCCTCTCTGCACGGCCTTCTGGCTTATGCAAGGCTAGGGAATATGCCTTTGCTATATAATCTGGATCCTGCTCTTGAAATTATGAAATTTCACAAACAAGTTTCTAGGAAAATACAACGAACTACAATATTATGTCCATGTTTTATTTAGGTGGCAGTAAAAACACATTTCTCAAACTAGTAAACTAATTTAATTTTTTGCCTTAGCATTTCAAGTTCTCAATTCTCTCCTTTTCGGTAAAATGAATTCTACGAGATCTGAAGCTTAAGAACTCTTCTTACCTTAGATATGACAGCCTGATTTTAAACAACCTGATTCCTTACACAAATAAAGAAAGGTTTTCTACCTCGAATGTGATTTTCTCCTTATCACATGTAACCAAGTATGAAACCAAGACTTGGGCTTCAGCCTTAATCCAGGAACGGTGCAGCTGCCATTAAAATAAAAAATTCCACTTTATTCATCCTTGTAAATGTACTCCATTTTCTTTTTTAGGGGGAAAAAATGATTTCCATATCTCCATTGAACTATTGAAGCATTTTAACATATTAAAAAAAACCAGCAGCAAGTCTATATAAAAAAGTACTGTAAGGCAAAAAGTTACTGGCTTGCCTTTTAAGGCAGGCTGTATGTAGATTTATTATTAGTGGGGTTCAAAGGTTAAAACTAAGAAGATACCAGATACTTTGAAGGAGGGGCCAGTGCAGCTAGGGGTCACATGACAGCTGCTAATTGGAAAATGTTAAAAAGGGAAGGGGGAAGGGCAAGGGCATCCGCCTGCTCTTCTTTCTTTATTGTAATATTTGATTTTCACTGGGGAAAAAAAGGTTAAGATTTGTATAACTCTCAAAAGAAGCCTAAATAAATAACCCCCAGGCTGACTGAGCACAGCTGACACTCCATCAAGGCTTCCTTGCAAAACAGAAAGACAACTGAATTTTAAAATAAAACTATATTTCTGTAGCAATTTTTAATGAAGACAATGTCCCTAAACTACTTAACCATTTTTTTGCCATTACGTTTACAAAATTAAAATGCCCTTCACTACAATGCATGCCATTTTATTTTTTGATTTGTCTAAATGCTCATTTATATTGAAAGAATGCATCTTAAACTATTTTGTGCTGCCTTTTTAAGATTATTTTCAGAACTGATAAACTCCTATAAGGTAAGTTGAATCAAACCATAATTCGGTTCATTAACAAGAGCAAGTTGAATATCTTGAAAATATTTTAAATGGTTTTATTCAGTAGAAAATTCATAGCATTCATTTCTTTACAAAGTACACATTTTCTGTCTCTATAAATATTGTTAGATTCTGTAAGACGCATTCTTCCCTATGTATACAATTTTTATATTGAACAAAATTTTTTGTGAATAGTTTCTAATTTTTTATTTACATGACATAGGAAAGTAATAACCCATGTCTAGATGTAAAGTTGAATTTATGACACCATTTTGATTGTACACATTAGCTGCAATTACCTGCACCACATATTCTGAGCCACTAGATGGTGTAAAAAAATAAATTAAAATGGTAAAATTTTCATTCTGTCACCATGAAATATAACTGAGAGAGATTAAACAAATTTCTAGGCATATAGCAATGCTAGCCATTTTTATACTAATTGTACTTTTAAAAAATCTAGCAGTTCGTAACACTGATCCCACCTTGATCTAGAAACAAGTCATTTTGAGCAGGTTTTTTTTGCTCTCTTCTATTAAAGGCCTTGAATTCTTAATTTATAATAATACCAAGCTGTCAAAATTATAGTCTTCATTCGCATATTAAATGTATTCATGGTATTAATTTATGATCTGTGTTTGCCAAAGTTTTGATAAAACTGGAAGGCCAAGCCAATAAAGATTATAGACTCAGAGATTCCTATCTGAACTTGCCCAGAGTGAGGCAGGGAAGTATCTTCACAAACATATACTCAACCCCCAAGCAACCCGACAACCAATAGCAAAACACCCATCAATGGCCCAGAGTATGTCCAAATCCCATCAATCCCATCCAAGGATAGCTGAGTGTACTTTCTTTTCACCCTCACCAAGACCTATCAGGTTGATGCTACAGGTCCACAGCTGGCTGAGTCTATATAGGTAATCATTTAAGCCAGTGGTGATGTGCAGGCTAACAAAGCCTTCTTTCCTGTTTCTTTCTTGGCTCTCTTTGCAAAAGCAAAATGAGCCCCGTGTAAAATATTCATCTCTAGAAAGTCCTTAATAAATACGATCATAATGGCAGAACTTCAAGCTTTGTAAAAGGCTGCTGGAGGAAGTATTTTTGGTCTTCTCTCTCCCAAATAACAGCATTTAAAAATTGTAGATGGCAGTAGTTGCCTTCCTTTAGATGGACTACCTCTAACCTTAGTTCTATGATCAGGCTTCACAAATAAAATTACACAGAACAGGTTTGGTACAAGAGAAACTACCTCCCCCAGAATCCTAAAAGTATGATACACCCCTATGACGTGTATACCCACTTTATGACAGTTTCAACTTCAGGGAGGGAGATAGGAAGGGGGTAGGGAAGAAAGACAGAAGAAAGATAATAGAAGGAAAAGCACTGATCTGGGAGTCAAGACACATACCTTAAGTACTGACTCTGGCACTTTTATTTACTCAAGATCACTCATCTGTGAAACCAAGAATGGAGGACCACTGCTAACACTCCTCACTCTTAACGTTCTATGATTTTATGCAGCAGCCATCTAGAGTTAAAATTCAACATGTGACCTTATTTCCAAATTCTTTTCTGTATCTAACAAGACATATTGCCTCTCTGAAAAGTAAAAAATATTTCTCTAATCACATTAAAATGGACTTACGGCTTAACATTTCCCCACTTATATTTAAAGCAGGGAAATTGTTTGATGTGTCCTTTGTTCCTAAAATAGTCTCACAAAGTAGACAGAGAAGGATTTTTAAAATCCCCCATTTATAGTAGGGGAAATTAAAATATAACAATTAACGGAGCTCATGCATGTTGTCAGAAGTATAATCATGACAAGAAACTTGACTTTTAAGTCCAAGGACCAAAAGACTGTGAATAATACAGTATAAGTCTTAAGAAGCAGAGACAAAGATTTACATACATACATATATACATGTATATAGATGAGTTTACGGCAAGAGACTTTGCTATTATGTTTACAAATATGGGATGTCGAACTTAAAAAAAATTACCTAAACCTGTCTGAATGGAAAAGCATTGCTTTTAAATTGCAGGAACACCCGATGTATTTACATAAAGATGAAAAAACTTGTTCTATAAACACAGTGCTTCCAGTAGTGAATGGCAGACAAAATCAGAATAAGCACACAGAAGAATAAAAAGGAAGAGGAAAAGAAAAACATAATAAATAACCTAATACCTTACAATGTTAACTTTCACATAAGTATATTGTTTCTGGAGAAGGCAGGGAGTGGATGGGAGCCAAGGGCTGAAGTGATAGGTAAACACTCTGTTAAGTTGAATTCTGTTATCTGATTGTGTTTAAAATTTGATTATATTTCACTTGACAAAATAATTAATTATTGTGAACTCCCAATTGTTAGTAAGGACCTAGAAGAATTCCACTTGGCATTTTTCCCTAGTGCTGCAACCCAAATGCATTTAAAACTGGAGCTTTGTACTGGCGCTCTGCAGTTGTCATTTTGGGCTATCTTCTTACCTTGCTAAGGATGTAAATCACGTCACCACGCTTAAAGGACAACTCATCAGAAACAGCTCCTGTACAATCCCATAAACCTTGGTAAAAATTAGCATAGTCAGTGCTTTTATCTCCTACAAAGAAGAAAGAGAAAACAGGAGTCAGAGCTGTTATGCAATGAGCCCTCATTTTAAAATGAATCAACAGAAATTAAAGGATGCCTTGGATCACCATAATAATTTAAAAAAATTCTGTCCTGAGTAAATGAACATTTTATTACATCCACACAAGAATACAACTTCTTACCATCCTTTAATTAAGACCATTTTCCAAAATCTGATTTTGAGTTTCTTTTTTTTGTACTCTGTCTTCCATCTAAAACCTGTCAGGCAACAAGTTCTCATCAGAGCAGCACCTAAAAGTCGCTTTCCACTTATTTTATATAATGCCTTTGAGCCTACCTACTTGCCACCTGTTTTGAAGACAGGTCCGCCACCCTTTACAATGAACATTATCTGTGCGATATGACACACACACTGTGAATTGACCATCTCACAGAGTTTGGGACACTTCCATAAAAATAATAATAGTAAAGGAGCTAGAGTACAAACATAAAACCAAAACTAGGGAGCCAATTTGTTTCTTTTCAATCCTAAAACCCAAAGCTGGTTAAAGAAAGCAGGTGATATGGAAATAATCTAAAGGGTAATTGCAGCTCTTTTCTTTGGGGACAAAGCCTCTCAAAGTTGTCTCTGAAATACTTTAGCAACTTTGAAATTGCCCAGGGCTGAAGCTGCATTTTTCAACAGATTTTTGTCAGCCCCAGTTTAGGACATTAGGCTCTGAATAAACATGCAACATACACTGGAGTTATCAGCTCATCCTTCTCACAGCATAAGCACAATGGATGTGATGTGCTCAAACTGCCATACAGACCATTAACTGATTGATTATTTAGCGCTTTCCGCTCTGTAATACCACAATAAACGGGGTAATAAATGCTTTGTCACTTATACAATGTAGGTCTCCTGAAACACAGAACAGAGTTAAATACACTGGATGCTTTTGTTGTACTGAGAACGGTTTCCTGTTTTTAATTTCGTGATAATTGAGTTTTGATGAGTTAATGCAAAAAGAATGCAAGTAGTATCAATAAGATGTCCGTGTATTCACTAGCCAGGCAGAACCCGAGTGTGCTGACAGCTTCCATCACTGGAATGTCATCTTTGAATTCTGAGGGGATAACTGTGGAGACACATGCTGGACCAGGGTTGTCATCTTAGTTTTGTTCCTCGGCTCTCAAACAGCAGGCTTCTTGGCAATTCCAACACAACTAATCAGATTAGCATGTCATTACCGTGTTCATCTTATTAGACTTAGTCTGTGATTAATACAAAGTGTTAAATTTACTAGAAATGTTCAAAATTCTCTTTAATATCTAAAACATTTTTAAAGCCAAAAAAGAGAATCTGCATAATAGGGAGTCTATTTCGGAAGTAAGATTCTACTTTAAAATTACATTTGAAAGAAAATACAGAGTAGAAAATATACAACCTAGAAAGGTCTCCCCATTGAACTTTTGTCTCTAGGTTTCTAAGAATTAAAAATGAGGGAGAGAGAGAGAGAGAGAGACTATGGGAGGGGAGAGTGAAGAAGGGAGAGAAGGAAGGAGAGAGGAGAGGGAGAGAGAGAGAGTAGGAGAGAGCGCGAGCTTACTGACTTCTTTGCACTAGCATTTGGGCACTCACCACTGATACCAGCAGGGATGTACACAAGCCTGGGAATCCAACCAAGAACAATGCTGTGGCCACCCTTCATTACGCTCCCCCCTCCCTAAAACGGGTATTAAGTAAATTCTATAAATGGACACTAGAGGGCACTCTGGATGGCCAGATCACTCCAAACATAGTCAATTTTTTTTTTTAGAAAAAAAAAATCACTTAATAATAAAGTGACTGATTTCCTTTAAAAACCACTTATTTAGACAAATAGAGATTTAGAAGTTGAAACATTCTAGTCAGATTAAATCAACTGCTAAATGGGTCAAATGTTGCGCCCCGTGCAGTCCGTCAGTGTCAGTTTAAAAGTCAGGGAATTAGAGCAAAGACAGGATGACATCATTTCACATGCAAGGCCCTCCCCCACGGCCAGCAGCCAGGAGGTAAAAGGCTCTCAATGGCTGTTTTCCCCAGTCAAGTCTCCAGTGTGTTCCCCATGCTGCTCAGCCTTAGGCTTGGTCCAGAAAGGTAGAAGTAATAAAATTTGGGCTAAAAACTAGAGTAGAGGTTTTGGCTTAGCTATGGCGTCCCAGTGGGTTCCCCAGATGTCCGTGCTGCTCTTCCCTTTTTCAGAATCTCTTTTAATAGTTTTTCATTTTGCAGATTTTCAAGAAGGAGGGGAGAAAAAGAAGGAAAAGAAAAGTATATGGTGATTTCTAACACATAATCCTTATCACTTTGGGGTCTCTCCTCCCCTTGATGCGCTTGGTGAAACTCCCATTAACAATAATGGGAGTTACAGGAGCACATGAGGGGAAGCGAGACCCCCACCGTGTGCAAGATGCATCTCTCCCTAGATGTGCATCATGAGCATTTCATTAAATCTCACTGCTGTAAAGAGGCAACAGAGCTCGCGATTCGGCAAGACTGGGAAAAAGATGCATTTTCAACAGTGCTTTCCATAATCTTGATGATGATGTTACCCAAAGATCAACCTCATTTCTATGTCCCATATGTGAGTTGTTAAGGAATAATTTGTTTATGTCACACGGCTACGTGTACATATGATTTACTATTCTATTTCAGCGTGCAATGCTAGTTAGAAGGTAGAAAAATCACAACCAGGGAGAGAGCCTGGCGGTAAATGTTCATCAGCTTTAGTCTCCTCAGGAAAGTATTGTTTAAATTCTTGATATGAAATCTGGACATAAAAATTAGGAATAGTCTTGGTCCTTAGTGAGCAGCAAGGCCTCTGGTCTACTTCTTGGAATTTAAAGTGTGGCCAAACATACACAAAAAATTAATTATAAAAATAGTCTCAAAAGCATGGTGGGTATGCAAAACTTAACACTGTTCAGCTATATGCTGAAAATAGTCTATGTGATTTATATATTTTTTTAATGGAATGAAGCATAGCATTTGAAATGTAAATTAAGTCTGTTCAGTTGTCTTTACTATGTGGATTAATTTTTTTGTTCTATCTACATCACGTTCTGTGTTTTCAAAATTATAAAAAAAAAAAAAATCACCAGTCACCTTATTATGTTTCTTGTTCTGGGAGGCATAAATGATTAAAAAAAGAAGGTAAGAAGGAAAAAAATAAATTAGCCTGCTGTGAGGGATTTTAAACAATGTACTTCTGCTTATAAAAACATACAAGAACAGCTCATCGGGCTAATGAATGTTATAAAGTATAAACTAAGCACGTAAACACTGCAGATACCTTGCAAAGACAAAAAACATGATAGCGACGGATGAGGTTAGTCACAATCAGATAACAGAGAACTCTCCCTGGTTGTTACAGGTTCAAAAATCATTTTATAAAGGTAAGAATATTCTTGATATTCAAAAAAACTCAAATGACATTTTTCGACACACATCTGCAAGATGTATAAGCTTGAACGTGAAGAAACAAGAGATACATTTTGTTTTTGCTTACATATTTTGCATTAAAACCGATTTTTTTTTTCTTAGTAAAATCAGTCAGTGTGAAAAATACATAACATTCTTGAGTAAGGTTAGAAGTTCATGTCATGTGATGCTCAGCAAGATAGTAATACCCTTGTCAACTCACTGCCCTGCGTGGCAAACAAACTTCTAGTGTTACATCTCAGACAGGCTAGGAAAGAGCAAAGGTCACTCTATGCAAAAGCACTAAAACTGTTGCTTGAAAAGAATTTCATGTCAGTAAAGATAAGAATTATTGTAGCGCTTTCTAGCTATTGCATGAAAAGCTAGGTCTACCTACTGCATTCCTTGGAGATAAATGGGATTTTTTTTTCACCTACCCTCAATGGCAAAGATTTGGGAGATGGTTACATTAAAAGGGTTTTTGAAAAATACAGTGGCTTTAAGCCAAAATATTTGTATCTGAGAAAGATTATCTTTATGTGTCTACCTTCTATGTCTGAATAGAAATGCACTGAAATTTTTAACAAAGAAAACTTCATGTTTTGGGGAGAAGCTTCCTGGTCCATAACCCAAGCCATAGACACTTAATATTGCTATTGAACCCCCCCCCCCCAAGCTTCTGCTGGCCCGTCGGGTTTTATAGCTTCATTTTACAGGTCTGGAGTGCTAACATCTAATGACTTTGTCCTCATTTCCTTTCTGAAAAAAGCAAACAAAGCGCCTGCAGCAACCTGCTTCTGCTTTCCTGTCCGGGTCCAGAATCAGCCCCTGTTTCCTTTCCACATGTCGCAGGAGGAAGGACTCTGGGAGGCTACTTCCGGAACATACACTTCTTGTCCACCCTGCTCTGACAGCTCAAAAGAGTGATGGATGGACATATCAGAGAGGGGAAGGTGACCCCAACTCCAGCTTTTTTGCAAGGCACGGGATGAATGACAGACCTTGCCCCAGCTGAAATGTGGCTACGAAGAGGTGTAGAGTCCTGATAAGGAGGCGGTCCTCCTTCTTTCCGTGTGAAATAATTGCTGGTTTATCAAAACTAACCTCATGCTTGCACTACAGATAGGGTTTATCTCCTGCTAGTTGGAAATAACAACAAACAAGAAAAGTTGTCCGTATCGAGTGATTTTTGTACATAGTGTGTGCGGTTGTTTTTCCAGTCTCGGCCATAATTAGTACCCGGGGCCATTTGCCAAGTGGAAGTGGATAAGAGGAACATCCTTCCCAGCCTTCTAGGCCACCAGTGTCCTTTTCCACTTTTTAAGCTGCTGTCACTGGACTCTGGCATTTCTTACCCGATTCATTTGCTTTCTGTGTTAATCATATGCAATGAAGATATGCATGGCCAACATTTAAACAGGCTGCAGATCAATTAGCGGTCTTAAGTTTATCTGATTTTTATCAAAGAAGACAGAGCTGCAGGTCGATTGTCAGAGCCTGTGTCAAGTTGACCTTTTCAGAGATGTCTACATTGCCAGTCCCCTGGGCAACTTGTTGTCCCCTGTTAGTCTCTGAATGGCAGAAGTCTGTTCTGCTCAAGCACAAAGTATACACAGATGTCTATATTACATTCTTATAGGTTTGACAGCAACTGCATGTTGTATCTATAAACTGTCCTTTAGCAGTGACACTTCCTCAATGATGATAAGCTAATTTATGCAAGTAAATCTCCTTTGTGCAGAAATGAAAGCTAATTGAGTCATTACAAAGTAATTCAGGAAGGAATACCTTGTGTAAATTGGCTTACTTTATAAATCCTTCTCAAGTGGTTTTCATGCATCCTAAATGGGACTAAGCAGCTTACCAACCATAAGATATCCAGACCAAACACGGCCACTTCGGGAAGCTGTGTAAACGTCTTTAGAGCAGCAAGAAAGGGGTTCAGATGAAAGTGAACAAAGCCAAAGTAAGATCTCTGGCATCTACACAATGCATTACCTAAGGTGGGGTGAACACTGTCCTGACCCATCTTCCTTTGTTCTTCCATTCTCCCCACGGCATTGTCCTCTTCCTCTTCTGTAAACAGACAGTATCAGTGACACACTGAAGGTTTTCTTTCAGGGTTAACAATATAGCATTCAATCCATTTAAGAGCAGAACCAAAAGCTTAAAACACATAAATACAATTTTTTAAAGAATGAAACTACTCAACATTCAGATTCCTTTTTCAATAATCTAACATTGGACAAATAAGCTGCTAGCTATTTCCAAAATGACTTGATGAAATTTAAGATATGTACTAATGTATTGCACATTTTCTTTTAAAAACCTATAGAAAGGTGGAACAACCTTTAACCCTTAAATTTAGTAAATTAACAGCCAGCATTATACCCATAAACCATATTACACAGTATGGCAGGAGTATCACATATAAAATCATGGTCCCTAAAATATCAACATAGCAAGGAGAAAATGTTAAGATATGGTTAACCTGTAATTTATTGAGTATCAGATATTTTCATGTTTTCTCAATCATCACAGGAAGATACCAGAAGGATCCTTGCCCTTCAATGTAATTCCTCCAAATTAACTGAGGACCTACTATGTGTCATGCACTATGGTAGATGTTAAGATTTCATAGGCAAGTTATTTTTAAATCCTCATTCTGTAGACCAGTTAATTTTCAGAGACTCAAAAAGGTGAAGTAACTTCCCAAGTGTATCATTCAAACAAGTTTGTGATTATAAAGTCCCCATTTCTTTCCCTACATATAGTCAGTGATTTACTCAATATCCTTTCCATATTCTCCTATCACATTTCGTCCCCAAGTTATGAAGACAAGAAGACAAGATGTGAAGGAAAGTGGGCTAACGGGGCCTTCACCTGACAAGTGAGGCTCAAAGTACAGAAGGGGTGTGATGGAGACACCATCCAGCTGGAGACTACCATGAAGGTTCTCTGGACGAGAGAATTTAAATAATGAGAGATGAGAAGCAGGATATTTCTATATAGAGGGAAAGGCATGAACTTCAAACGAACAAGGCACAGTGACATTCGTTTGACTAAACAATATGGTTCTCACAAGGAAAGAACATAATACTAGTAAGTCAGGTGCTGGGGGGCCATGAGAATCTCGTTGTGGATATTAGACTTTTACTTGGTCGGCAGTAAAATCCCTAGAAAGTTTTTGAGCCAAGAAAAGGCAGAACTGAAACTATCCTTTGAGAATGGACACCTGATGCCATTGTCTCCTACACACTGGAGGAGGGGCGGGGGAAGGGGAGGAGCTACAGATGAAGGGGAAGGAAGTCCTGAACTGAAGCAGCAGAGGAAATGGAAAGGAGATGGTATGAAAGACAAAGGACTAGAATTGATGAGCTCTGTGCCTGAGGATTCCAAGGAGTGAGGGGGAAAAAAGGGCAACCAGTGATGGCTCAGGTTCTGAGCTTAGGTAACTGAGAAATGGGCATAATATTTCTAAAAAGAGGAAAGCAAGAGAATCTGTCTTGCGGGAGGAACACAAGGAGTTGGGTTTTCAATATAGGGGATTTAGCGTGCTGCTGGGACTGTGCAGAGAAAATGTCCAGAAGCAACTGCGAAGTATAACAGACCAGTCAGATCAGGATAAATTTAAAGGCATCTCCTCAAATTTTAAATGGGAATTCATTAAAATCAGCACTTTAATTTAGCCTGAGAGTTACCATACTTAAAAGACAAATGTAACTGTTTTGAATTTTTGTAACTTCAAACAAAACAATGAAAGCTCCAATACATTTCTTGTATTGAAAATACATGGCGCTTTAGATACATTGTTGACCCTAACATTCACAACTTAACATGGTTCTATCAAATAGTAATTGATAAATAGAAAACTTATTTAAAAGCCGAATACTAAATTCCATTTCTTTTCTCTTTAACAACAGTTACTTCACTTACTCCACATCGTAAGGGCTAGTTAACATAAATGGGTCAATAGGTGTTTCCATATAATATTTTAAAGGCTGAAGAGACATTTACAGTCATTTAGTCCAGCCTAATTTTTTAAGAGGTAAAGAAGGAAGGTTTTCTTATTTTTCACATTTTCTCTCTCCGTATCACTCATACTCCTTCTTTTCAATTTGGTCAAAAATTGAATAATAAGGATTAAATTAAAAAAAAAAAAACAGCTAAGAGCATTTGTCCTCAGTCAAAAGCCATAACCACATCAATACAGTAAGTACTATTCTTGACTTTTAAGGAGAGACTGTGGGATTTAGACTCACTATCCAAAGTCAGCATCAAGATATCTCCAAAAATTAATAATAATTAAATAAAAAACTTTGCTCTTTGGTATAGTTAACAATAAATTTAGAATAGTTTATTACTATGAAATTAATTTTATTTTATTAAAATTTACATGCCTGCAATGTATGCTCCAGATTGTATATTGGTGTCAGAGAACCCTGTCCTTAAGAAATATATGGGCAGCACCTGTAGCTCAATGGAGTGGGGCACTGGCCCCATATGCTAGAGGTGGTGGGTTCAAACCCAGCCCCAGTCAAAAACAGCAAAAAAAAAAATTAATAAACAAAAGAAATATAAGTTGTCAGAAAAATATTAAAAAAAAAACTTACTTAAGTATCAATATTTACTGTGAAGTATCCAAATTGAAATCCATGTCAGATGCTATTTAACACGCAGTACTTTGGAAGATGAAGCACTCATTAAGTACATTTCCTTTTTTCATTTCAAATCTAGCACTGATATTTTTAGGTCAAAGCCTTATGCATTTCATACATTAATTTTTCTTAAATTCAAATAACTCATTTCATCTTGGACTAACAATACAAAGTAGCTTCCATATAACAGATAATAAGATCAAATTGGGTGTGTGTTTTTAAATTTTAGCACCTCCAGTTGAATATTGACTAGAACCAGGCACAAAGGAGATGTTCAATAAATATAGAGTGAAAACTGGATTAAAAAATCATAAAAATATATCCTAACCTATGGAGAATAAAACACTCCCTACCAAAACACTCCAAAAAATCATGAAAATATATCCTAACCTATGGAGAATAAAGCACTCCATACCCTAAAAAAGAAAAGTAAGGACAAGTGACCAGAATAAAACACTCCAAAAATCATGAAAATATAACCTAAGCTATGGAGAATAAAACACTTCATACCCTAAAAAAGAAAGTAAGGACAAGTGACCAAAATTCTAGGCAATAATCACCTTCACAGTATATTAGAACTACATATACTCACATGCTGTTTTATTTATTATTAAACATTTTATTTTGATGTTGAGGCACAATGTCATTATATAATACTAATTAATATCTCAAATAGTCAATGTTTGTGAGTTAATATATTCCATTCAACATTTTAATAACAGTAAACAAAAACAGCTCAGCTATGCAGTAAAATCCATCAAACCACACAGATGGTTATAAGGTTTTCATTATGTGGTTTCCATAGCAATCATATTGCAAATCTGGAAGCTTCTTGCAAATAAGCAGCTTGTATTTACATGCCTCTCAGCTGCAGCACAGAACTCTTCAACATGTGAAGTTATTATTCCAATCACATATAGTTAGAAGAATCACCAGGAGATTTTTTTTTTTTTGATCAGATAAGATGAAAATAACAATAAAGCGAGCGAGGTGCAGGAGATGATTCAACCATAGACACCATTTACTAAACTAATAAATGAGTATTAGAAATGTTCTGGTTGTCATCAAAAGGGTTTAACATTAAAATCTGTCCCAAAAACAAACAAACAAAAAAAATTCCAGGAGCAGTCAGATCCTACAGAACCCTAAAACATACAATGTACCCCATCCCTCTCCTTTAACAGACATTTTGCCTTTTTCTAAGTTGAGCAGGGAGAGGAAGAATAGCAGGAAATCTGAGTTTTCCCAAATTTTTGGATGACTATCCTTTGAAGAAATCCTGTCTATGGGAAAAGTCAGGACTTTTGTTTTTTCTCTTTTAGATTAATCAAGTTAATTTACAAATTGATCCAGTTCCATAACAGATGGATTATTACCCTAATAAAAATCACAAATCTGTCTAGATACGCAGTTTTTACAAAATGGCTATTTCTGGCTAACTAATTTTCTTATGTTTAGGATAAATAACCACAAAGAAGAGTAATAAGCAAATGACACATTTAGCTGACACTGCTTGAAAAGGTCTAAAGATAATTTGTTAGCTCCAAGTCGGGAGGTTTGATGCGAACATCAGGGCGGAGGATTGATTTTATCATCTCTTCCAGGGAGAAGAGGAAGACAACATAAGAATTGAATTGAATGTGAATTTTTGACTCAAAACAATGATTACCTTTCTCACCAAACACCCTCAGCTTTACTGAATTACAATGTACCTTAAAAGACATAAAACAGAATCAAGAGTTAATCTTTGAAAGTAAATTTGAGTTTAGATCTCAACTTAACCAGGCATTATTTGATTATCTGGTTATATTTCTCTCAAGAGAAGTTAATATTTATGGCTTAAATGTTCATACTATATGTACTTATATCTATTAAGCAACTAAATTCTCATAACAATTCCATGAAGTAATGCTAGGTACTTTTATCATCATCAATTTATGAATGCAAAAAATGAAATTTACAGAGCTTGAACAATTTGTCCAGTTTATATATCCTGTTAGTACATGGCTTTCTTTTTTTCTTGAGATAGACTCTTGCTTTGTCACCTGGGTCAGAGTGGCATGGCATCAGCCTAGCTCACAGCAACCTCAAACTTCTGAGGTCAGGTGATCCCTTTGCCTCAGCCTCCCAAGTAGCCCAGACTACAGGTACCTGCCACAACTCCTAGCTGAGTTTTGTATTTTTAGTGGAAAAAAAAAATTTCCCTCTTGCTTGGACTGGTCTTGAACTCCTGAGCTCAAGTGATCCTCCTGCATAGGCCTCCCAGAATGCTAGAATTACAGGTATGAGCCTGGCCCCACAGTATCTCTTTCCTTCTTTTTTTTTTTTGAGACAGAGCCTCACTGTGTTGCCCTTAGTAGAGTGCCTGGCATTGTAGCTCACAGCAACCTCAAACTCTTGGGCTCAAGTGATTCTCTT